ATGGGTATATATAGACCTCCTTCATCGAAGAGTGGGTTTTATGATAATTTAAAAAATCTTATGAAAGAGCTCGACCCAAAAAAAGAATTAATATTGGTTGGAAATTTTAATATTAATTGGACTGAAAAGTTACATAGAAAAAAGCTTCAGGAAATAGTAAGCAGTTTTGACCTAGTGCAGTTAATTCAGGGACCTACTAGAATTACTTCATCATCTGAAACTCAAATTGACTTGATTTTTAGCAATAAACCAGAAAGAGTAACAAAGTCAATAAACTTATTAACAGGGATATCAGATCATAATCTTATATTAGTGGTAAGAAAACTAACAAAACATAGGTTTTTATATCAACAAGATAAAAGAAATGTGTTAAATGTTATACCAAAAAAGTTTAAAAATGTATTTGAAGAGGAAATCAAAAAAATAGATTGGATTGAGATATTATCTACAGATAATCTAGAAGATGCATCTGAGTGTTTAATGGCAGAAATTAATAAAACCAAAAGTAAATTTAGTAGAAATATCACCTTCTCTAAAAAAAGCAAAATTTACCTTGGTTAAATGAACAATTGTGGAAATTAATGAGACAGAGGGATCATGCCCTAAAGAAATCAATTAAATCAGGGTTAGCCCATGATAAAAGAACCTTTCAGCAACTGCGTAATAAAGTTGTAAAGGAACTAAGACAAGCAAAAGCAAAATTTTTTATTGATCTTATAAATAATGCAAAAGGGAATAGTAGGGAAGTATGGGAGAATATTAATAAAGTGCAAAAAAAGATAACTAATAATAAAGCCATTGAGTTACAATCTCAGGGACGTTTAATTCAAGGTAAGTATCAAATTGCTAGGTTATTTAATAATTTTTTTATAGATTCAGTCCAAGATTTAGCACAAGGATTTAGTTTTAGAAGACATTACATTACCAAATTATGATTTTACTGTTTTTAATATTTCTGAAGTATCTGAATCTTGTGTACAAAAATGTTTAAGTCAACTCAGGAGTTCTAGAGCTAAAGATGCCTTTGAATGAGACTTAGCATTTTTTAAAAAGTATGCAAATGTTTTTAATACACCTTTAACTCACCTTGTTAACTTATCAATAAGACAATCTTATGTTCCAAGTGCCTGGAAGTCAGCAGTAATAACACCCATATTTAAGACTGGAGATCCTACTAATGTGGTGAATTATAGGCCTATCAGTATTTTACCAACTGCCTCTAAAGTAATTGAAAAGGTTGTTTGTAATCAGCTGGTAGAGCGTTTAAATTTAGATAAATTTCCATTACACACTATGCAGTTTGGATTTAGAGCACGTCATTCTACGGAGACAGCAAACTGTTACTTTATAGAACAAATTAAATCCAGTCTAGATAGGGGTGGAGTTGTTGGGGCGGTCTTTCTTGATTTTTAAAAAGGCCTTTGATAATGTTAACCACAACATACTTTTTTTTTTTATTAATGTTTTATTTATACATTATGAAACATTACAAAAATTTACAAAGACATAATCATGTAACAATATGCAAATATACTGAAGAGTATTTTGAGCAAATAGTAATAATAAAAATAAATAAACAGTAATAAATAAAAATATGATAATAAAAATAAATAGATAAATAAAATAAAAAACAACAACACTAGTGCAATCTTATATACATAAAAAACAAGTCTACAATGTGTTGACCAGAAGTAGTTTCCCATAAAAGCTGGGCATTAGGGGGTGGGGACTCAATCAGAAGGAGCAGGGTCAAGCTGAAGAGTTTGGACATATTTGCGAAGGGGTTCCCATAAATTAATAAAAATAGTGCTAGTTCGGTGAAGAGAGTACCTAATTTTTTCTAATTTCATAAAATAAAGAACATTTCTTATCCAACAAGAGTGAGAAGGAGGGTGTGGGCTCTTCCAGTTCAGAAGAATTAATCGCCTAGCCAGAAGAGTTAAGAAAGCTACAAAGTCTACAAAATGAGAGGGTAAAGTGTGGTCGGGCGGAAGAACCCCAAATAAACCAATAATTGGACATGGTGGGATATCAACAGTGGTAATAGCTGATAGCGAGATAAATATTTGTCTCCAAAAGGAAAGCAGGGAAGGACAGGACCAAAACATATGAAATAAAGTAGCTGTACCAGAATGACACCTGTCGCACTCAGGGTCTATAGACGGATTGATGCGAGCTAGCCTGCTTTTGGACCAATGAGCTCTATGCACTACCTTGCATTGTATAAGCCTGTGACGTGCACAGATTGAGGAGGAGTTAACCCTGTTCAAGACCGCTTTCCATGTCTCCTCTGTAATCTCAATTCCCATGTCTTGAGACCAGGTGGTCCGTAAGTTATCAGAAGAAAATTGAAGATTAACAATTATATTAAATAATTTAGAAATTGAACCTTTAGCACAGGGATCTATGCCCAGTATTGTGTCTAGATCTGAAGTTGGCGGTGCATTTGGAAAGTTAACAAATTTTTTGCGCACAAAATCTCGAGTTTGTAAGTATCTGAAAAAATTGGATTTAGGGACATTAAATTGAGAGGCCAACTGACCAAAAGAGGCAAAAACACCGTCAATGTAAAGATCACCAAAAGAAGCCAATCCAAGATCTCTCCATGAGGCATAAGCACTGTCCAAGATAGAAGGGTAAAACAGAGGATTGGAGTGTATTGGGGATAATAAAGAGATATTATGAAAACCAAAATGGCGCAAAAATTGGGTCCAAATTTTGAGACTGTTTTTTACAATTATATTATTTGAATATTTAATTGGGGTCATTGTATGTGGGAGGCATAAAAGAGCAGCCAAAGAGGACGACTTATTGCACGAGACAGACTCAATGTGCAGCCAAGAGGGGGGATTCGCTAATTTGCATGAATGTAGCCAATATAGAGTAGAGCGTATATTTGCTGCCCAGTAATATATTTGGAAATTTGGAAGAGCTAGACCACCCAATTGTTTTGTTCTTTGAAGAATACTTTTACGAATCTTTGGGGTTTTTCTGTTCCAAAGAAAACTAGAAATAGAGCAATCAAGTGAAACAAAAAAAGATTTTGGAATAAAAATAGGAATACATTGAAATAAGTAAAGAAATCTAGGAAGTACATTCATCTTAATACAGTTAACCCTACCGATCAAAGATAAGGGGAGGAGAGACCATCGATTAAAATCCTGTGTAAGATTATTCACTAATGGGACAAAGTTGAGGTCAAATAAGTCCGAAAAGCTTTTTGTGACATTTATGCCCAAATATTTGAAACTTTGTAAGGAGGATTTGAAAGGTAGAGAACCTAATGGGTAATCCAAGGCTGCTGTATTAATAGGCATCAATTCACTTTTACTCAAATTTAATTTATATCCTGAGATCAGGCCGAAGTCTGCTAGCAATTTCAAAACCAAAGGAATAGAGGTACAAGGGTCAGACACGTATAACAAGAGATCATCGGCGTATAAAGACAGTTTGTGCTCCAACTCCCCCCTTTTTATGCCAGCCATTGCACTGGCTCTTAGAGCAATTGCCAACGGCTCAATGGCTATTGCAAATAGTAAAGGGGAGAGTGGGCAGCCTTGTCTAGTACCGCGACCAAGTGAGAAATATTTAGAATAATTGTTATTTGTTCGTACACAGGCCATTGGAGATGTGTATAAAAGTCTAATCCAAGTTATAATTTGATCCGGAAACCCAAATTTCTTCAGTGTGTAAAGCAGATATCTCCACTCGACTCTATCAAATGCCTTTTCAGCATCCATAGAAATAACTAATTCTGGAGATGCATTTGAAGAAGAAGAGTAGAGAATATTTAAAAGGCGTCTAATATTGTGAAAAGAGTGTCTATTTTTAATAAAACCTGTTTGGTCTGGTGAGATTATAGCTGGGAGAACAGTCTCTAAACGTCTTGCTAAAACTTTAGCTAATAATTTGACATCAGAACAAAGTAAAGAGATGGGACGATAGCTACTGCACTGGGAGGGATCTTTATCTTTTTTAAGAATAAGGGAAATAATAGCCTGTCGGAGAGAAGGAGGAAGGATACCTGAACTGTAAGACTCATTAAACATGTTAAGTAAAAGAGGAGACAATTTGTCAGAAAATGTCCTAAAAAATTCTGCGGGAAAGCCATCAGGCCCTGGGCACTTGCCACTCTGCATGAAATTTAGAGCAGTCTTAATTTCTTCCAATGCAAGTGGAGCTGCCAAATTAGAGGAGATATCAGAATCAATACAGGGTAATTTTAGAAATTTGAAAAAAGTGTCAAATTGAGCCTCTTCGACTATATTTTCCGAAGTATATAAAGAGGCATAACCACAACATACTTTTATCTAAATTATCAAGGTTTAATTTTTCTGTTAACGCATTATCATGGATGGAGTCATATTTAAAATCAAGAAAGCAATGTACAAGAATTAATGGTGCATGCTCACCATAAATCAATTGTAATTTTGGAGTTCCACAAGGATCAATTCTTGGACCAATTTTGTTTAGTTTATACATTAATGACCTGCCTACAGTGTGTCCAGAAGTTCAGGTTCAAATGTATGCAGACGACACGGTAGTATATACTCACGCTAAAACCAAAGAACATGCTGCTAAAAAACTAACTGCTGCACTCAAAAAGGTTTCAGATTGGTTATATCGTTCATGTCTTACCCTCAATGTAAGTAAAACTGTGGGAATGTTTTTTTCAATTAAGAAAAATGAGGAGCATTGCTCAGATATTTTAGTTAATGGAGAAGTAATAAATATTGTTGATCATTTTAAATATTTAGGTATAATTATTGACTCCAATTTAAATTTTAAAAAACACATTAAGAAGGTTTCCAAAAGTGCTAGAGCAAGCCTGAGGATCTATAGAAACATTAGGCATCAGTTACCTATGGCTGCTGCTAAACTTTTCATGAATACAATGATTTTACCTCATTTATCTTATTGTGCTACAAGCTGGTCGCATACGAACATTACAACATTAAAACCATTGTATGTTATATATAAACAAACTGTTAAAATTTTAGCTAAAAAGCCAAGGAGCTATCATCATTGCAACTGTATTGCACAACAAAAATTACTAACATTTGACAGTTTCTTATTTTATGCTGATGTGTGTTTAATGTATAAAATATTTCATGGTCTTGCACCACCACCCCTCAAACAATGTGTGATTGTCTGCAAGGACAATATAAGACAGACTAGGTCATCTGTTAGAGGTGATTGTTCAGTTAAACTTAAGAGAACTGCTTTTGGACAATCAGTTTTTTCAGTTAAAGCAGCAGAAAGATGGAATAAAATACCAGTGTATATCAGAGAGAGCAGCACTTTTAATAATTTTAAAACTGTTCTTAAAATCTGGCTAAAACAAAATCAAATATGCAGCCACTGATTTGATTTCATTTTATTGACAATGATGTATTGTATTTATTGTACTGTAAGTGTATATTGTATTTGTTATAAGTGTTAAATTTGTTACTTCCTGCCCAGGGACTACATATGTAAATTAGCTTTATAGCTAACTCTGGCACAACATTTCATGTTGTACATTGTCCCTGTATAAATAAATAAAGTAAATAAATAAATAAAAATAAAATAACAGTGTGATTTCAGTCATTCATCTGATGTAAAAACAAACTATGAATTTAATAATATGAGAAAACTACTGGAATTTGTGTCAATTAGAATTATTGACTATTGTTATTTATTAAAACTGAATATTAAATGTCATCTAATATATTCTTGAATACTTTGAAATATAAGAAAACTGCTAAATTTGAGTTCAGATAAGAGGACCACGAGACTTTATATATTTATGAACCTGCAAAATGCAAATGATCCGAGCCTGTCAAACCTGCTCCAATAAACCAATTCACAGATAAACTATAAATATAATCATTAAAAATATAAAATATAAATAAAGATTTAGAGGTAATTAAATAAAATAATCATTAAATACACTGATTTCCTGAACTGTTTAAGAAAAAGAGCAACTTTCATTTGAGAAGCAGCATTTTGCAGTTTCTCCACTAATGCTCTTAAATATATCTGGACATTTCCATCTCAATCAAAACACTTTTAATGTTGTAGAGTGGAGAATCATTTACCTTAGTGTGTCCAGTTTACAGTGTTGACTCTTCAGTCCATCAGAGAGAAGCTTCACTCCTGAATCCTGCAGGTCATTGTTACTCAGGTCCAGCTCTCTCAGCACACAGTTTGAGGACTGTAGAGCTGAAGACAAACTCTCACAGCACTGAACAGTGAGATTACAGCACTGTAGTCTGTGTAGAGGACAGTAAAAGACACTGTATTATTGTGTGTGAGTGTGACGTAATTATTGAAGTGTCTATAATGAGTGATTCCTCCTCATAGGGAAAAGGAAAAGACTCCTTTAACTATTCAGAGTTGCTTTAATGGTCACATGGAGGAAGATTAAACATTTGTATTTCATTATTACATAAACTTTATAAAGAGAAGATCTCTGACCAAAATGAGTCGGCCACACAGATTTATTTATTGCTATTTCTGTTCTTATATTTCTGATATTTCAAATCCATTCAGATCCTCATATTTGTTAAAAAAGCAAGACTCTCATATAATATTAACAGACAGAAAATATGACTTTACAAACTGTATTGCAAATAAATCACATCAACATCTTCATATTAGTCAATAATATTCCTGAAATGAATATAAAACTGACTGAATATAACTTTACACACATTAACATCAGTAAATAAAGAGACTCAGTGATGGGCTGAACATCTGCAGAAACACAGCTCATTTAGAGACGCCCCAAAAACACCAAAGAACACCAATCAATGATCATTTCAGCAGAAATTACACTAAAGAGCAATATTATATCTGATATAAACAGGGTTTCTCATATTTGACAATAAATAAACAGAAATAAAATACATCACAGCATATGCTCATTACCTCATCAGACTTTACTGCATTTCACAATGTAAAAGTCATTTGTGGCGGCATTTATTTGATGGAAATGTTTTTATTTTACCTCAGTGTGTCCAGTTTACAGTGTTGACTCTTCAGTCCATCAGAGAGCTTCTTCACTCCTGAATCCTGCAGGTCATTGTTACTCAGGTCCAGCTCTCTCAGCACACAGTTTGAGGATTGTAGAGCTGAAGACAAACTCTCACAGCACTGAACAGTGAGTTTACAGTCCTGTAGCCTGTGTAGAGGACAAAGAGCAACAAAATCAGCAGTAGGAAATGAGCAGTGTTGAGTGTTCATGAGTCCAGTCTACAGTGATAAAAGTAACACTGGAAATAAACTATATATATATACTGCTCAAACAATAAAGGGGACCCTAAAATAACACATCCTGGATCTGAATGACTGAAATATTCTAATTAAATACTTTGTTCTTTACACAGTTGAATGTGCTGACAACAAAATCACACAGACATGATCACTGGATATCAAATGTATTAACCCATGGAGGACTGGATTAGGAGTCACAGGAATTACTGACACACTTCAGACTAGGGATGCACGATATATCGGCGCCTATATCGATATCGGCCGATAAACTCTATTTTTAAGATTATCGGTATCGATCCGATGTCTTAATTAGGCCGATATATTTAAGCCGATAAATGACGTAATTGTACAGACCTGTGTGTCGCGCTCGCGTGGGCGGAACATGTTCAGACTTGTCCAGTGCACTATAATAGATCTCTCCACACACTGTTTATTCCTTCCAAGGTTTGTCCTTTCTTGATGTGGCATTGCTGTGAGTTAATAACTCAGTAAGTAACCACGTTCCTCATCATTGTAGATATGCTTGATTGAGTGTCATTGTGTATTTTGCTTTAAATCGCCTCAGGAAAAATATTACATGTGTAAACCTTTCCTGCTCTGTCTCTTTGTTGTGTTAGAGATATCAGGGGAGGTTCACTTATTACTCCAGGGCCGAATAATGTTAGTTTCGGGGTGAACTCTTTTCGTTGCAGCTGGTGAATTACAGAGGACACATGTAACTTGGTCCAAAATATTTATTACTTTCCGTGTGGTACAACAAATAAGCCACCAAAGAGGGAACATCACAGAAAATGGTCTCATTGTGAAAAAAATGCTCTTCTTTTTTCTCTGCTGTCTCACACACACCACAAACTGCAGCCCAGTCCCGTTGAAGGACATGCACATTTTAAAACACGTGTAAACACAACGGTTGTTTGTAAACTGTTGTTGATGTAAGATAGTATTCAGTTTGATCGGAATATTCATATTGATTATAACGAGCTTGCACGAGAGCTGTCACCGCACACACACACACACACTGTAGCACTGTAGCATGGGGGAGAGGTGAGAGAGGTGAATCCAGTCAAAGTGTTCTTAACTAGCCGCTCATTCTGTCTTTATATTCTGCTCTGTATTGGTCATAAAGTCAGCTCAATGCAGGTTTAGTATCAAAATCTGACTCTGATGGCAATTCTGCCTCTACAGTTAAGTAATACTCTCAGCGGTTTATTCGATCATTTCCCCGTTATTGATGGCAAGAACGAGCGCAGAAGCGTTGTCTGATTGACAAGCAGCGCCTACATGTGACATGTCAAAACGCCAAATAGGATGATCTAGTGCCGCATTTTCTAAACGTACTCTCTGTATTTAGCTGTTGGCTTGTACGGTGGCTCTGAACTGTCAAAACACCTCTGATAAAGGCTTTTTCGGACATGACATATTTGTAGATGTGTACATCACTGTAACATGTTTTATTCATGACCATTTGAGCTGGTTTCAGTCTTTAGCTCTTTCATTTTCATCTTATTTAAATATATTTAACTTGCTTGTTAATTAAATACCATTTTGTTATTTAAACTATTATTTTTATGCAACAATTAACTTGCATGTTAATTTGCTATGAAGAAAAGGAAATCATTTTTTGCATGCTGATTTATGTGAAATCGTGAATATAGGTCTATAATCACCTTGCAATTTTGAAGTTATAGCTTTTTTTGCTTTGAGAATAGACAGTTCATAAGAGCAGTTCAATCTTTTATGAACTTTGCTGTATAAAAATATAACATTTATTTATTCATTTTCTTGTCGGCTTAGTCCCTTTATTAAACCGGGGTCGCCACAGCGGAATGAACCGCCAACTTATCCAGCAAGTTTTTACGCAGCGAATGCCCTTCCAGCTGCAACCCATCTCTGGGAAAAAAAAAATATATATATATATATATATATATAACAATTTAAGACATTTATAATTATCGGCCTATATATATCGGCCATCGGCCCCCAAGTCTGAATAATTATCGGTTATCGGTATTGGCCAAAAAATCCATATCGGTGCATCCCTACTACAGACACATAGACATTTTCAGAACAAGAATATTTATTTCATTTAAAATATACTATTTATCATTTATTTAATCTACATTAAACTAAACCTGTATTTCCCCATTCATATGACTGTAATGAATTACTGAACAGATAATTAATAACTAATAAGAGAGCATTTTACTGAGCTCAGTGTAAAGTTTAGTGTTTAGGCCTACAGTAAATGTAATATTAGAGGCATGTCTGCGGCGAGACGGCAATACTGTGTCTAAAATTACACTATTTCTCTGATCAGAAAACAAACACAATTATCCAAGAGCAACACTGTGTTAGATTTGAGCAAACACACATCAACAAATGTCCTATTCAGCTGGAGGAGCACAGGGATTTACAGGTATTTGAGTTATTTTCCAGGATAAACTGTAAAGCAAATGTAGTAGATTATTAAATAAGTACAAATGTTGTTTGTGTGAGTAAAAAGTCAAGAAAAGTTTGTTAAATACGTTTAGAAATGCTGAAATAAATGAGCAAATAAGGAAACAGAACACTGCCGCCGCGTCCCCATGTAGTAATATGGTGTATCAGCGATCTCACAGGGGGACGATATGGCCAGCTAAAGATTTTCTGTTAAAGCAGGGCAGTGATTCACTAAACTGATCTGAGTCTTCAGTGCAGACTGATGTGTGTCTTCTGTGATCAATCAATGAATACTCACAGAGCTCTTCTGCAGTTTCTCACAGCTGGTGTCACTCTCCGTCTTCCCTCATCTGATGTGTTGAATTTATTAAAGTCTAACTCATCCAGCGGCTCCTCTGACATCTCAATCATGTAGGAGATTGTTGAGCAGTGAGCAGGAGAGAGTTCCTCCCCTGAGTGTTTGTCTGATTTCACAAACTCCTGAATCTCTCTGGCCAGAGTCTGATCTTTCACCTCCAGCAGACAGAGGAACAGATTGATGGATCTTTCAGCTGAGAGATGGTCATCTGTCTTGATCTGGTCTATAATGTACAGTGTGATTCCTCTGATGTTCTCTGAGCTCTCCTCTGTGTGTGTCAGCAGATCCTGGAAGAGTCTCTGATTGGACTCTATTGATACGCCCAGCAGAAACCGCAGGAACAGATCCAGATGACCATTACTACTGCTGACAGCTTTAAATACTACTGAACCGAGCAGATCACACAGAGACTTCTCAGAGCTGGACTGTTGATGTTGATTACATAAATATACTCCGTCATAAATCACCCTCAGCGGTTCTCTGTTATTTGTTAAATGGCAGTAAAACACAAAGAAAGCAGCCAGAAACTCCTGAAAGCTGAGATGGATGAAGCTGTAGACTTTCCTCTGATGAATCACAGATTCCTCCTTGAAGATCTCAGTGCAGATCCCAGAATACACTGAGGCATCAGTGACGTCTATGCCGCTCTCAATCAGGTCCTCCTCATAGAACATCACATTGCCCTTCATAAGCTGTCTGAAAGCCACTTCAGCAAGTTTGACAATCACTTCCCTTTTGGACTGCAGGAGTTTCTCTGGATCTCTCTCTTCATACTTCTGCTTCCTCATGTTGATCTGAATCAGCAGGAAGTGGATGTACATCTCAGTCAGAGTTTGAGGGATTTCTGCACTCACATCCTCTTCCAGGAGCTTCTGAAGCACAGTGGAGGAGATCCAGCAGAAGACGGGTATGTGGCACATGATCTGGAGGCTTCTTGCTCTTCTGATGTGGGAGATGATTCTGCTGGCTTGATGTTCCTCGCTGATTCTCTTCCTGAAATATTCCTCCTTCTGAGGCTCAGTGAATCCCTGAATTTCTGTCAGACGCTTGATGTATCTGGAGGGGATCTGATGGGCTGCTGCTGGTCTGGAGGTGATCCAGATGAGAGCAGAGGGAAGCAGATCTCCTTTCAAGAGGCTCCACATCAACACAGCCACTGATGAAGATTCAGTCACAGCACAAACTTTCTCCTCATCTGAAAAGTTGAGTGTGATTTTGCTTTCATCCAGACCATCAAAGATGAACACAACTCTACACTGCTTATAAATCTTGGGCTCCAGATCTTCAAGTTCAGGATGAAAGTCCAGCAGAAGTCTGTGAAGACTGTACTGATGATCTCTGATCAAGTTCAGCTCTCGAAATGGAAGCACAAACATGAAATCTACATCCTGATTGGCTTTTCCCTCGGCCCAGTCCAGAATGAACTTCTGCACAGAGACGGTTTTACCGATTCCAGCGATGCCTTTAGTAAGAACAGTCTTGATCTGGGCTTTCTCCTTCTTGATCTTCTCCTCATGTCCTGCTCCAGCTGAGACTTTAAAGATGTCATTGCAGTAGACTGGAGTGTGTTGTGAGGGTTTTGTTCTGCCTCTTTTCTCCATCTGTAAAACCTCATGTTCTTCATTCAATCCTTCACTCTCTCCTTCTATGATGTAGAGCTGTGTGTAGATCCTGTTCAGGAGGGTTTGAGTCTCTCCATGGTTGATTCCCTCAAATAATCTCTCATACTTGTTCTTCATGCCGGTTTTGTGCTGCTCTTTGACTCTCTGAAGTTCATCATGTTCTGGTTGGAGTGAATCCTGCGGCAGGTCTCCAGTATGATCATCTCTAGTGACACTGAAGGAACAACAACAACACAAAGAATCAATGAGTGCAAGTGTAAAAATCTTCAAGTAAAGCCATGTTTGTTTTCTCTGAACCAGCTGAGAAGCAATACACAGATTTGATCATATTTAACTAAACACCACACACTGATCACTTTAAACACCGCACACTGATCATCACTTTAAACACCACACACTGATCACCACACACAACACACACCGATCACTTTAAACACCACACACTGATCACTTTAAACACCGCACACTGATCATCACTTTAAACACAACACACTGATCACCACACACAACACACACCGATCACTTTAAACACCACACACTGATCACTTTAAACACCACACACTGATCACTTTTTAAACACCACACACTGATCACTTTAAACACCACACACTGATCACTTTAAACACCAAACACTGATCACTTTAAACACCACACACTGATCACTTTCAACACCACACACTGATCACTTTAAACACCACACACTGATCACTTTACACACCACACACTGATCACTTTAAACACCACACACTGATCACTTTCAACACCACACACTGATCACTTTTTAAACACCACACACTAATCACTTTAAACACCACACACTGATCACCACACACACCACACACTGATCACTTTAAACACTAAACACTGATCACTTTAAACACCACACACTGATCACTTTTTAAACACCACACACTGATCACTTTAAACACCACACACTGATCACTTTAAACACCAAACACTGATCACTTTAAACACCACACACTGATCACTTTCAACACCACACACTGATCACTTTAAACACCACACACTGATCACTTTACACACCACACACTGATCACTTTAAACACCACACACTGATCACTTTCAACACCACACACTGATCACTTTTTAAACACCACACACTGATCACTTTAAACACCACACACTGATCACCACACACACCACACACTGATCACTTTAAACACCAAACACTGATCACTTTAAACACTAAACACTGATCACTTTAAACACCACACACTGATCACTTTTTAAACACCACACACTGATCACTTTCAACACTAAACACTGATCACTTTAAACACCACACACTGATCACTTTTTAAACACCACACACTGATCACTTTAAACACCACACACTGATCACTTTAAGCACCACACACTGATCACTTTAAACACCAAACACTGATCACTTTAAACACCACACACTGATCACTTTACACACCACACACTGATCACTTTAAACACCACACACTGATCACTTTAAACACCACACACTGATCACTTTAAACACCAAACACTGATCACTTTAAACACCACACACTGATCACTTTACACACCACACACTGATCACTTTAAACACCACACACTGATCACTTTCAACACCACACACTGATCACTTTACACACCACACACTGATCACTTTTTAAACACCACACACTGATCACTTTAAACACCACACACTGATCACTTTAAACACCAAACACTGATCACTTTAAACACCACACACTGATCACTTTAAACACCAAACACTGATCACTTTAAACACCACACACTGATCACTTTACACACCACACACTGATCACTTTAAACACCACACACTGATCACTTTAAACACCACACACTGATCACTTTAAACACCAAACACTGATCACTTTAAACACCACACACTGATCACTTTACACACCACACACTGATCACTTTAAACACCACACACTGATCACTTTCAACACCACACACTGATCACTTTACACACCACACACTGATCACTTTTTAAACACCACACACTGATCACTTTAAACACCACACACTGATCACTTTAAACACCAAACACTGATCACTTTAAACACCACACACTGATCACTTTACACACCACACACTGATCACTTTAAACACCACACACTGATCACTTTCAACACCAAACACTGATCACTTTCAACACCAAACACTGATCACTGTAAACACCACACACTGATCAATTTAAACACCACACACTGATCACTTTAAAGTTAGTGATAATACTATTTTCCTTCATTTAAATATTATTATTATTATTATTTAATTGTTATTTGTATGCCGGTTTGAATGTTTTTAACTCGACTGAATGGGCATAATCAGTGGTTATCAGCTGATAGATATGGGCCAGTAGGGGCCTTCTGCTCCTACTAGTAGGCTGTTATCATCCATCCACATGGTTAGTCAGCTATAGATCACATACAGCTTTAAGTAACGATAATTATTTACATTATTTATAAAATCCCTATTAATTGTGTTTTATTAACAGATCTGTAAAAACAGATCTGAGTCTACTCTATTAGTATAGCTGATTAACCATGTGGATGGATGATAACTGCCCACTGAGTCTACAAGTAGGTGCAGAAGGTCCCTACTGAACCATAACTATCAGCTGATAACCACTGATAATGCCCATTCAATAGTAATTACATTAGAACCAGCATAAAATAATTTAAAAAATAATAAATAAAGGAAAATAGTATTAAATTGGGTGTTGCATTGTGTTGTCTGTAGTTCTGAAGGTTGTTGTGATCATATAGTTGTTAAATGTTTTGCATCTCCATCTCTGCTGTCTGAATCTTTCACTGCTTCACCATGACTGTGTTTGCTCTGCCTCTGTCAGCCCATTTTCTGACTGAATATAGTTTTTGATTCACATGATAATCTCTAGATCATACAAGTGTTTGCTCTCAGAGTTCAGTAACAGCGTTGTCATTTTGCTGCACTTAATTAAAATTATAATAATCAGAGAATCTGAATACATTTTTATCTTAAATCAGTATCTCTTTTGACCATAATTATCAGGTGAAATGCGGTGTGTTTGTCTCACACAACTTGTTTATCAACAGTGTCTAAAATCTTTCTTTCTTTCATACTATTAACTACCGGCTTATTATCTGTGTAATGTGAACATATGAACTGCTCATTAGTAGTCATACAGTATGATCTTATTGTGGATCCCTAACCCTACCCAAAACCTAAACCCACCTTCTACCTCACTAACTATTAATAAAGCGCTGATTGGTTTGTTAACACCATCAATTGTTTCCTGAAGTGTAAAGCGGAGATCTTCAAGCACTATCCTGCAGAGCTCAGATACAACATCTAACATCTGAAACCCAACAGATCCACAACACTAATTACCTGATTCATTTATTATGAAAATACTCATCAGTTGCAGATATTAAAGAGATGATCTACCTGACAGCAGGTCCTGTGTTTTCACTCTTAAAATTTATTGGTTCACCCATAGACCAGTCACTCTTTATAGACACACAGCTGGGCTCTGCTTCTGCCCTCTTCTGATGAACTGAACTAAGACAGAGAAGATTAAAGTTCCCCTTCGGTTGGTTAACTTCAGTGCTATTAAGTGGATTTGATCTTTGTGAAAATCCACGAATGGGAGGATTCGGTTCAGAAGCCGCTTGTCTGAAAGAGTATTAAACGGGCCAATGAATGCAATGAATTGGCAGCGTAAGCTTCCACAGGTGTGCTTCATTGCCAATTATCCCAGCATATAAGCACACCTGGAGCGAGCAAATGCCATCCTTTTTGCTTCAGAGACTTTCTGATCGAGTCGATGAGGGTTCCTCCTGCTGTGACCAGCAATTCTGAGCGAACGAGAGCATTCTCCCAGTCCAGAGTGTGTACACGCAGCGGCAGACGGTCGAGCTGAGTTTCTCCCTTGCCTGGCGTTCTTTGGGTCCGGTCCTCCAGAGCGGTGCGTATGAAGTTGCAAACTTCACAGAAAGAGCAACACAGTCGTGCAGCACGTCCTTTTCAGGACGGCGATCCGACTGTGCGTTTCTGGATGCGGTGTTTTCCTGTCCTCGGATGATGGGCACAGGCACTGCGTTGCATGCCTGGGGGGTCCAGCATGTTAATGCGCTGCTAGCGGGCAGTTCATGTCGTCATTGCGATGCCATGACTGTTGCGCAGTAAAGATCGCAGCTAGCTTTTGCAAAAGGGCGAACCACCCCAGTTGTCCCTTGCTCTGCAGCGGGCACTCGGGCAGATCTGAGGGTTTTAGCGAGAGATAATCCGTCGCCCACAGGCCCGCGGACCTCCCGCTCCTCTAAGCGCTCCATCCAAGCTTCGGGCGGGGGAAGCGATCCGTCTAACAGATGGTAGCCCATACGCCCGATGACACCGGAGACCAGACGTCCACTGCGGCATCGGAGGGTGGGCTTTCATTGACCGATAATGATCCAGACCTGCCCACCCCCTCCGGGCAGGTGAGCGATGTCACTACGGATCCTGAAACGGACATGTTAGCCGTGCTTTTCCCGCGGCCGGACCAACTAGAGGGGCGTTCCCTTCTTCACGAAGGTGCACAGTAGGCTCACGCGGTCTTGAAAAGCGGCCTTGCATGCGATAGCCACCTACCAGCGCTACCAATCGCAGGCGCTGGCCGAGCTGCACGAGGGTGGGTCCAACCCAGGCTTACGAGCTTCGCACCGCCGCCGACTTAGCTCTTTGGACTACTGAGTCCGCTGCGTGTGCGTTTGGGAGGACGATGTCCACATTAGTGATCCAGGAACGCCACTCCTGGCTAATATGCGCGAAGTCGACAAAGTCCACTTTCTTGACTTCCCCATATCCCAAGCCATGTTCGGCGACACCGTCTGTGAATTCACCCAGGAATTCAAGGTGGTGAGAGAGCAGTTGATGGGTGATGTTTTATCGGCGGTCCGTAGCCCGCTCCGCCTACGAGAGCTGCTCCGCCCCCGCACACGCCTCTGGCGAAGCGAGCGCGTCGGGCACCTCGGAAGCAGGCAGCCCCCCTGCCCAAATCGCCGCTAAGTCCGGCAACGGACCGCGAAGCGTCCCTGGGACAGGCCATCTGGAGAAGAGGAAACTTGCTCTTTCCCCGCTGGAGGGCGGGGCCCCATTTCCAACGGCACTTTTTACTGCCATGAAAACATCATGAAAGAGCACTTTTCCACTTCCCCGGATGTGACAGCCCGAAATCTGCCAGTCTGG